TATATATACTATTTTTCTACTACTAACTTTGTTTGGTTTCAGTCAAGCACTGCGTCTGTCATGATCTATGGTTGTGTTTACAGTTTTTGTGTTTTATGATTGGACTTATTTGTGCCTAGTTATTCATGTATTAGTTTTATTTAATTGTGTGCTTATCTTTTTTAGTTTCCTTGTGTTCAATTGTGCCATCGCTCACCTGCCCTCAGTCAGTTGTCTGCTCCTCTATGATTTTCCAGTCAGCCTGCCAGGACCATCCAGAACCGTCACCATTTCCCCATTTCACCTTGGTCTCAACTGCATTCAATCGCCCACTCATCCTATAAATTCAATTTGCTTCACTGGTACATGCCTGGTGTTCTCCTTTGTGATTATTCTCATTTTAATGATTATTCCTGGTTGTAACCTGGTAGAGAAAACAGCTCTAAATATTGTTTTATAACTGATACATGTATTTTACTTAGAAAACATCGCCATCTCCTTCAGGAGAGAATTCTTCAGTTTTGTTTGCTGGTTCAGAAAACCTCCAAACGGACTGAAAAATTCTCTCCTAAAGGAGATGGCGAACCGGAGCCCAGGAACTTGATCGAAGGACAGCATTCTTTCAACATCACCAAATCTACACTGTGGTAACCACCAAAACTGGAAGCGTTAATCGACCAAAAGAACTGAAAGAGAGACTCTAAAAATGTTAAGTCTTGTACAAACGTTTCGTCTTTCGTACAATTTGTTTTGTTTTTTGAACCCATCCAGAGGACCAGACTTAACTTTTAGAGATTTTTCTACCTGGATTATTGAGCATGCATCAGGATATGAAAGCGAGACTATTTGACTAAAGACTATTGAGCTCAGACTGAACTAAAGGATTTAGGATACTAAACTAAATATAGACTCTTTAGAGTTGCTGGATTGTTAAGTTGTTGTTTTTTTGTTTGTTCTAGATAATAACATTATTCTTGTACATCTCTTGCCCCCAACTATTCTCTCACACTGCACAATTCTTATTTACAATACATCCCTTCAAACCTAGATACTGGTTCATTACGTTTCAATCTAAGGCTTTTCTTAAACGGTTACATAGAAATTATTCCTCATTATTGTTTACTGCCTCATCAGCTTTTTGTTTTATTGTCTGTAAATAAATAAGATTTTGTTTTTGTGTTTTTGTGTCCTATTGCCATTTCTGGTTTCAATCCTCGTGCCTTTGTAACAGAGTTTTCATTGTGTGATCGTATTCAATAAGATATTGTCACATTTTATTAATCTCTTTGCTGAACAGCAGTAGCTATAAGTACTGTATAGATAACTGTTCATGTGTTGCCAACTCGCAGCTGGGGTTTCCCATCAGTGTCCCTTTGAGAGCCCCGTAATTACCACGGTAACTGCTCTGAAACAGAGTCTGAGCTCTCAATGGTGTCCTCAAAGCCAGAAAAGAATGATTAGGTTACGTGGTAGCACAAAAGCACCAGTAGAACACTTGCAACTAACAAAGACCCTCCTTGTAACACTGGACAAAGTGTGATTGTCGGCTTTGGAGGCAAAATGTAAATGTGTTCCCTCTTTTACTACAGTGTGATCTCTAAGCTGTAAAAAAAAAGTGTCAAGAGGTATCTTCTGCAGGATTCAGATGAATTGCTTCTTCAGTTTTGCTCTCTGCAATCACAGAAACATTAATTAGCATCAATGCAGCACATTGTCCTGATCTCTATTGATGATTATTCTGATCTCAGAATGAGTCAACATGGGAAAAATTGCAATAAATCTTACATCTGAATTGACTTTTGTTTTGGGACAGTGAAACCCATTATGTATGTGACTTGCACCGTGCATCCACCTTCGCAATGCATTTGCAAAAACAAGCAGTCCGTGTGGAGAATACTTGGTCTAGTATGAGGTAAAGATGTGTTAAATCAAGTTGTGTCAACAAGCGATTGTAATTATCACAAATGTGATCCACAAATGGACGTTTGAGAAGCAAAGCTCCGGTTTGCCAACAAATGGGGGACAAATCATTGAACTGCTTGACAAAACATGTTCTCTAAAGTATAACTAAAAAAGACTCCTGAGAAATTCAAGGAAGAAATAGAACACCGTTATCCTCTTCAAGGAATTCTTTTAAGCACACATTATCTGGAGAAATGTCTTCTGGGACAAGCCTAAGCTTGACAGCTGGAATCGCAGATGCCTCGAATGTCGTTGCATCAAGAACCACCATTTATACACAGTGAAGCTGATAAATCACTCTGACAAAAGGTTTTTTGTGGAAAGTTTCGTCAACAATTTGTTTTCGTGTTGATTTAACTTTATGAGCTTTGTGCTCCGGAGATGTTTAAGTCCCCCAGGTTCGAAGACTTGGAATGCATCAAGATGGACAATCAATGAACGTATAGCAACTTTAATTGAAATTAGCTCACTGATTGTGCCGTTTCCTTCCCAACAATAAACGTGGAAAAAAAGCACAACATGAGCATAAAAACATTGGGAGTAGGAAGCCCTTGTATGAGCCTTTAAGTCACTGTATACACCTACACCGCCAAAAATATTGCATCACAAAGAGATGATATACAAACATACACAACAATAAGAACTATAAGCAGACTGGGAAATGTTTTTAAGATAGTTTGCATCAT